CATGGCCTGACTTTGACGTGCCATAGATCAGCGACCTTACAAGATACAATTAATTTTTTATGCCCGACTATCCTCTATTCAACTGTCAGCTATGAAAAATTTGGCGTGACTACGCCGCGCCCTTCGAAAACCATTCCGAAAAACCTTTGGGGGGTCATTTTGGCCTCCCGACCCGAGCGTGTGTTAGACCCAAAACCCGGTAGTTTCTGAGCTACACGTGTCCGCAAAGCTACACGTGTCCGCAAAGTATACTGCTTCGTGCAAACTTTTTCGAGGTCATTCAGGCACGCATAACGCGATAGCAGCGTCATTCAAACCATGCCAACCTTAGGCCAGGCGGCGTTCAAGACCAGGAAAAATGTTATCGTCCAGTCGTTCAGATCTGGCGTCCGTGAGCGCGATATCCAAAAGGAGTGGAGGTCAATTGTCTCCCAATCAATGTTGAGCAAACTGTGCAAGCTTCATATATAAATCACATTTTGTAAAACATAATTAACACCTTTTGACGTGGCTTCTTCCTTTGCTGGTTATTACCGACATAAGTGTTGCAATCGTGTAGCTTAACCCGCCATTGGCCGGCTCCTCAGCGGCGCAGCATTGGCCGGAGGGGACAGACCTGACCCCATGCTTATCTCAAGAACAGCTGAGCCGAATTAGAAAATTCGGATTACGATCAACAGCGTTATAGTGCGTGATCTCAGACCACACAGTAAACTTAAGTTCCAGTATGTAAGAAGGTCACAGGTTAAGGTTAACTCCTTAAAATGTTACTTTGGAATACCTGACCGCTCCGACAGCGCATTTCATAAAGAAGCGTATCCCATGGTGTGAGATCATTGCGCCCTGATCAAACATGCTACATAGGAAGGTACTCACTGTTACGCCCATCGAACCAGGCCTAGAGGCAAGGTCACGTGCTGTGCAATTGAGAGGTGAAAGCTTGGTCTGTATGTCTACTTTGGTCTTTTTATTTCCGTCATATTTGAGCCATCTAAACGCAAAGTGGGAGAGCTTAGCCGCAATAATGGGCATCAGACACGTGAGCAAAAGCTATCTGTTACTTGCTCACAGGCCGTCTAAGGTCAAGGTCGAAGGGATGCCCGCGGTAGCGAACGAGCGGTTGGATTGATGTTCGCGTTGCTTTCGACGGTTCAGTACTGCCGACAGCGCAACCTGATACCCTTTAACCTCGCCGCCTGTCACGTGGTCGTCGGTTCGCGTGTGAAGCTGATAAATGGCTTCCATGGCTCCACCAGGGTGAAGGGATCAGTATAGGAATGTAGCCCACTGGTCGAAAAATCCACTGCCGATTGCTCACATTGCGTTCGATGCCGCACAAACTGTGGGCTAGTGTTTCCACCTTCGCTACCGTGAACCACCGCTCTAGCAATCTCGTTCGCAACATCCAACGGGCGCGTCACGACCTGTCCGTTCACACATAGTACCGGAAGAGCCTTGGATGAGAACTGCCCCGATATGCGCTTAATCCGAGACCAAAGCTGTGATGTTAGCGTGAACCGGTTCAGCGTCCTTACGTAAGCATGCCAGGAAGCTACGCTTCGCCTCCCTTACAGTGGGCCGAGCAAAAGCTCTTGCCTTCTTAAAGGCTATCAAGTTTTCTACACTGCTCCTGGCGTCAAAAGCCCGAAACGCACGTTTACGCGCCTGGATGGCGCTCCGACACTCCTCCGTCCACCACGGAACAGGAGTACGTCGGGGAGCGCCGGACGTGCGTGGGACACAACTGCTGGTACACTCTAGAAGTCTGTGAGTAAAATCCTGAATAGAGGGTGCCGTCCTCTCAGGCGCAGTTACAAACGATTCTTCAAGCCGAGTCTCAAATTTGCACCAGTCCGCTTTTTTAAAAAAATTCCAGCGTTGTGGCCTAACAGCCACCGCTCCACCTCTCTTAAACCGAACCCACACTGGAAAGTGGTCGCTTCCCATTAGGTCATCCCCGACACTCAACTCGAGGTGCTGGACGAGCTGGGGACTGGAGAGGCTTAAGTACAGCGCTGACGTCTGACCGGATGGCATTGTAAAATAGGTAAGAGTTTAAAATGCATAATGTGTTTAAGATGCATAATGTGTTTAAAATGCATAACGAAGCACCGTAGATAAAATTCTCACACAGCCTCCCACGAGCATTGGTGACGTCACACCCCCAAGCGGTGTGATGCGCATTGAAATCGCCTGGAAGAAGAAGTGGTGGAGGCAGTTCAGACAGAAAACATCTAAGATACACCAACGGGAAAGTGATGTCTGGTGGAAGGTCAAGTGAACAAACAGTGATGTGGCGGTGATTGAAATAAAACCGCACGGCCACAGCCTGAGGTGTGGACCGCAAGCTTAACCTCCTCGCTGGCACGCCATGATGAACTGCAAGCAGGACACCACCGTGAGCAACGACGTCAAGCTTGGTCTCTTGCAGCGCCACGGCTGCAGAAGAGACCCTGCTGACGACAGCCCCGAGATCAAGGGCGTTCGCTCTTACTCCTCTACAGTCCCACTGTAAAAACGCCTGTAAAAGGACGCATTGAAAAAGAGGTAAGAAGTGAAAAACTAAAACAAGTCTCGGCTTAAAAGAACTTGGCTGCGCCAGTTGTATGCCCAGACGCCTCAGACCGCGAGCTACGGCTTAACTCCGGGGGGCCGTGCCCCACCCTAGAACGAATCCTTGGGCTCCCTCCGTCAGATGGAGAATGGGGGCCGGCTGGGGCACGTTTTACGCCAGCGTACCCAGTCCGAGGTGTAGGCGGGGGAGGGCCCATCGGTGGGCCTCTACCGGGGTTCGAGGGACCAGTGGGAGCTTCCGCCGGCTTCCGTGGCGATGGAGTGCTGTTTCGGGGGACGTGCTCTTTGTCTGCCCCGGACAGACGGCTTGCCGCCTTAGTGCGCTCCAGTTCGGCCAAGCGCGCTCGCTTGGTCTTGCGGGCGCGCTTGTCAGCTTCCTGGCGCTCCAGTGTCTCTGCCACACGCTCACAGGCACTGGCAAGAGGTATCTGTAGCGAAGGGACCGACTGAGTCGCAGACGAAGGCACGACCGGCGGTGCGATGACTGATCGCGCCGAGCCGTCGTCCAACCGTCACCCGTTGGTGAGCCGGCGCGCACCGACGAGGCCAGCAGAGCGGCATCTACCGATTGCTCGATCGGCGGAGAGAGAGCTTGTAGTGCCGGCTGGGAGTCGGACGTTCGGACCGAGGGAACAACCGACAGGCCAAACGACCTCAGAAGTCCCACGAACTGAAGTGGTATTACTTTGTGGCAACGAAGTTTTTACTTCGGACGCATACGAAATTTTTGGGTGGCCGTCGTTGTAAAGTTCACGAGCTTCACGAAAAGAGACGTTTTTAGAGGTTTTAATCGATATAATCTACTTTTATTTCACTTAGGCCGGGCATGCTCGGTCGTACGTCGTGTGTGGGACTGGGTCCTTGCCACAGTTGACGCAGTGGGGTTCAGCAGAGGTGCAAACTTCGTTCGTGTGCTCGAATGACGCACATTTACCACATGTTGGGCGGTTACGACAGTGGACCTTGGTGTGGCCAAACCGCTGGCATTGGTAGCACCGCGTGGGGTTAGGCACGTAAGGGCGAGTGTCGAGTACTCTTGTCGAGCACCCCATCTGTTAGCCTTCTGGGGCACACTCCATCGTTCGGAGTCTTTCACATCGTGTCTTGGGCACTTCCTAATTAAATGTAAGGCCCTACGCGCTTGTCACGGCCCCAACTGTTCACCTCCTCGTGCACACTGGACTTTCGGGGGCCCTACACATTAGGATCTGACATTTGAATGTAGGTCCCCACGCTCTTGTCGGGGCTATCTAATAGCAGTGCTCGGGTATGCTCCATCTTTCGGGGCTCTCCACACTGGGCATTGGGTATTTCTGAATTTAGTGGAGGGTCCTACGCTGTTGTCGATGGCTCCATCTGTTAACCTACTTGGGGAATGAACATTCCTGGGCTTTCTATATTGTATCTTGGGTATTTCTTGTTTGCATTGATTTGCCCTTCGTTCTGTCGAGGCTCCAAAGCAATAAGCTCCTTCAAGCTGCCTTCAGTAACAATTGCGGACACCGGCCTCGTCCCTGCTTCGTAAATGGGCTCCCCGAGTCCATGCCGACTCAGGGCCGGCGGCTCAGCACTGGTGGTCTGGGACCCACCATCGTCCCGTCCCGGGGATCCCGACAGAATCAACGAATCCCTTTGGGTGACATTGGGGAGCTTGGCCTTCACTCAACGATCGTCCTCCAGCCAGCCTTTCGGGCACTCCAATCGGGCCCTCGATAGTCTGTAACGAGGGTTCCGGAAGCCACTCAGAGCCTGGCGGTGGAATGGTCACCTGTTACCCACCCCCACCCCACCGCGGCTGCGCCCCTGTACGTGTATGTGTGAAACCCAATGCAAGTCAGCGACTTGCTTTCGGAACGCAGCTCCAATGTAAATAGTGACATATGCGTCCCAAAACATTGGCAAGCTAATGCCCGCTTGGTCTAATATGGGGTCGTTTTTGCTGTTAGGCGAAGTATACTAGATTCGAGCGAACATTCTTTATTTTCTGCTATATTTTGGTGATTTGTTTCACAAATTTGGTGGCACTCACCGATCTGATAGATTGTGTTCATTCTGAACATTTCCCTCGTGTATTTGATGGCTTAATTAGGCTTTACGGCGAATAGACTTGTTAAACTGCTGGCAAAAATGTCTGTATGGGTTTTGATAATCCCATCCATGGTGGCTTTTAAATTTTGGCTGTGGTTCATCCAACTTGAGAGAAGTGCCTATTTTTGGTGACCATAATTCTTTTTGGTGATTAGTTAATAGGTAGCAGACTTGTTTCAAAATAATACATAGAAATATTCGTTTTTATTACGGAATAAAAGAAATTTTTAAAGAATTTTATTATGAATGCGTGATTTTTTTCAAGATTCTTTGCTATCTATAAACATTAGAAATACCAATAAAGATAGGCCGCTAGGTGTCATAGTGCCAGATATTTTGTATGGTCCCTAAAGGTTGAGTCGTATGGTTCTACATCGTACAGATATTAGACCTTGGATTTGGGCTTGCGGGATTTCTGCCAGGTCCCGATCTAGCTATTTCCCCGAACGTTTGGCTTATATTGATCTATGGCTACTTTGTTACTGAAATCCTTGCAGTCTGCCTCTCGGAACGCGTGTAGGCAATCGGCTCCATGTCTACATAAAACCCTGTGAGTTCAGATCTGACAATTCGTGTTTAGGATTGGTCGTGTGGGTTCCAGTCACAGTGGATCTGATGATTTTTATGTTTTTTGGACATTCTTAATATCGCTGCTACTGAGTTCACATACTTTTGTGACTGCTTATTTTATTTAAATGATAGATTTAAATGTTTTAACTGTTCTCATATTGTTTTCATGGAGCACAAAACATTGCCATTTTTAGTTGGCTGAGAACAGTATATGAAAAATCTGTTATGCGTGGTTATGTGCAGTTACCATATCCATTGTATCCATCTGTATGTGATACACAATGTGTCAACATTGTGATCATAGATATAGGATCAGCACAGTCTGGCCTCCATGGCACCCCACTTTCTAAGAATGCTGAACATTGCCCATATGGTGATGCATGCAAAGAGTTGACTTCAAAACAGACTGTGTCACTCCCGCTTTTTGGGACCTTATTTTTCTGATGCCTGTGAAACAAGTGGTTTAGGCATAGCACTCGAGGCATTTTTCAAACACTATTTTTGGTTAAAATAACCCTCCATGTTTAAAGATATTGGTCAGAAACTGAACTGAACCATGGTTCTATGATATTTTTGTTAAACTTCATGGGGTAGGTGTACTTTCCTACCTAACATTAGAAAAAATCATTGCACACCATTCGTCGTGTTTAAGGCGGCACAAATCGTAAATAATCTCAAAACAGGTAGAATCATGCACCTACCTTCAAATTTCAATAACTTTGATGGCGGGCTCCCGAGCGCCCACGCGCACCGCACCGCCTGGACTCCCCAGCGCCGTTTCTGCGTTGCCGTTGCGTAAATACAATATTTCTGCTTGCTAAGAACTCTACAAAATGTACAGGACCAAGGTAAACTATTTGTCGTGTTTAAGGCGGAACATATCGTAAATAATTTCAAAACAGAAAGAATCATGCTCCTACCCTGGAATTTTAATAAATACGATAGCGAGTTCCCGAGCGCCGCACGCACCGCATCACACCGCCTCGACTCCCAGGCGCCGTTTCTGCGTTGTTGCGAAAGCACAATATTTCTGCCTATCAAGAACCATTAAACATGTACGGGACCAAGGTAACAATAATAAAGCAACCGAAATCGTTTCTTTCGAGTTTAGGTACATTTATGAAACACACAGGCCAGAATAGTCCAGAACATATCCTAAACTAGCCTAACCTAACCAAACCTAACCTAACCTAACCTAACCTAACCTAACCTAACCTAACCTAACCTAACCTAACCTAACCTAACCCTAAGTGGCTTAGCTAAGCCAAGCTAAGCTAACCTAACCTAACCTAACCTAACCTAACCTAACCTAACCTAACCTAACCTAACCTAACCTAACCTCCCCACCCTATATCCCCTTCAACCCAGCATCCCATTGGCGTCCATGTTCCATGCCATATATAGGTGCCATAAAGTGAGCTTTTATTTAGCTGTCATGTTCTCATTTTGCTTTACATTCCCCACCCAACCCCCCTGCAACCCATGGTCCCGTTGGCGTCGAGGATCAAATTTCATGGATTCTTGTTACCTTGGCCCGGTACATTTTTATGGTTTTTGATGCTGCTTGATGCACAGTAATGTTGTGACCCGCGCAGTAATGGCGCCGGTGTCGCGGGTGCTGTGTGTGTGCGGCGCTCGGGAGCTCGCCATCGTAATTATAAAAAATTGAAGGTAAGATTATGAATCTACCTGTTTTGTGATTATTTACGATATGTCCTGCCTTAAACACGACGAATGGTTTACTTTGGTCCCGTACATTTTTAGAGTTCTTGGTAAGCAGAAATACTGTATTTACGCAACGGCAGCGCAGAAACGGCGCTGGGGAGTCCAGGCGGTGCGGTGCGCGCGGCGCTCGGGGGCCCGCCATCGAAGTTATTGAAATTTGAAGGTAGGAGCATGATTCTACCTGTTTTGAGATTATTTACGATATGTCCTGCCTTAAACACGACAAATGGTGTACAATGATTTTTTCTAACGTTAGGTAGGAAAGTACACCCTGACCAACTTCATGGATATGTGATGCTAGTTGGGCATTATCCTGCATGGAATCATATGCCTTTCTTTCATGCAGAGTGCAGTACTTTATCTGTTATTTGTGGGTGTGCTTGTTGCATGCAGAACATGCAGAATGTGCCTGATGCCTTCATGTAATGAGTGCGTGAATGAGTTTAAGACCAAGTATTGTGCTTTCTGCAGATATCTGTTTTGATGTGTTTTTTTTGTGTCTGCTCAGTGTCCCCACACATTTAAGTTTGGTAGAATGTGGTGTCCAGAATGTGAAGTTTGAATCACATTGCTGCAATTGTAGAGTATCTCTTTTCCTAACATGTTATAGTCAGCTTCTGTGTCCTTTATATTTTGTTAGGTAATACTTCAGTCTGCTAAGAACTGCTGCCTATTTCCTATTGCATGTTTTACCCACTCAAGATAAGGAAAAATTATTGCATTACCTATGTGCAGCTTGAGGCTTGTGGTTCCCCTGTGCATGTCATTTGTGCAGATGATGTCAGTAGATGCCTGAAATAGTGCTGAGGTATATCAGACTGGAGTAATCTGATGATCATATTGTGCTTGACCTTGAACACCATGTGGCCAGTCAGGTGGCAGGATACATGTGATGTTTCTATACCATCATGCATGCCTGGATAGCCTTGGGATGGTGTGCACAAATTTGTTTATGCAAGTTTGCAGGCACCAAGCTCAGAAATTGGTGTTTTGTGTCTTAAAAAGGGCATGCTGTCAATTGCACTAAATTATCTTGAAAATGACTACCTCAGCTCAAAATTCCGTATGAATATGAAGCACTCCCCCTAAAAATCTTGTGAATGGAATGAAATGTGGAATTAATGGAAAATGGAATGAAAAAATCTCAGTTAAACAATCCATACAAATGTGAAACACTCCCTTGAGAGGCATAGCCAATTGGTGGCACTTGAACTGCAGGTGCTAAGCCCATGGATTTGGTGCTTTAAAGGTTTGTGGGTGCCTGTATGGGTTCGTGTTTTGTTGCCAAATTGGAGAAATTATACCACAAGCAAGGCACCCTGATTTGTAGAACTGATTTTGGTTTGTTGGAAATTGTTGTTCCTTGTGTTCTCACATCAGGTTTGTTGTTGTGGATGTTTCCTTGTGGTCCTCTCTCTGCAATGATCCCATCCAAGCTCACCCCTAATTTAACAGCCTCCAGCCATCACCTGTTGGGGCAGAACACAATATGTTTGATGAGTGTCTGCTCTGACCATGTCAGCCTGTCGTGCGCAGCCGGTGTCTGTCGGTGGGATGCGGTCGGCTGGCCTCGGACCTGCCGGCCAAGGGCGAGCCGGCGCCAGCTGTGCCCGGCTTGATCACTGTGGAGGGCGCTGAGGATCTGAGCGCCATCAGCGGTCACCCGGCCGAAGAGGTGCGGCCCCGCTCCAGTCGGCCAGCCGGCCACCCTGGCGTGCACCGTCTGCTGTCACGTGTCGGCTCAGCTCGGGCCGGCCGGCCGGATGCACAGACGCGGGACGGGCTCCCGCTGTTGGGCTTTTGTATTTATAGCAGAGAGGTTTTCCATGGCAGGCCAAAACCACAGGTGCAGCTTGGATCATACGACATGTCAGATGCGGTAGATGCACTGTTTCATCCTCAATGAAAATATTTGGGGGAATGATTCCAAAATGTAATTCTTCCATTTCAAGTTGAGTAGCTGACAATATTTACAAATGTGCCTAAATTTAGGCATGCAATAAGTCTGCTTAGCATTCAACATATGGCATCAGTGATGCATTGCTGTGTTCATTATATAAACATCATACAGCATCATAAAACAGCATCATGAAACATGCTCACCAAATGTTCAAGCTTTGCCAGCCATATTTTTGTGGAGGTCTAGCAAGAATGGCTTGTGTTAGCATTGTTATTTTTCTTGTGTTTTGCGCGAATTGCGAGCGACTGTCTACGAGCGAATGTCCGTGATGGTTGCCGGGCCGCCTCGCCGCCTCTGACGCTGACGCCACCTCTGGCTGCTGCAGATCCAGACGCGCCGGGTGCGGGTGTATCAGCCGGCCAAGAACGCCATGCAGTCGGGCACGGACAACCTACGGCGTTGGGTGCTGGATTTCGATACGCAGGAGCGATGGGAGAACCCTCTGATGGGCTGGGCTTCCACGTAAGGCCATGCTTGTGTTGCGTTTGTGTATGCATCAACAAGCATATGGAAGAAAAGCGCCTGCTTATCTTGCACTAGTGGTGATTAGTTGATGAGTGATGAATGGGGAGGGGGTTGGGTTAACTGCGGGAGTTGCACATCTCTCAAGAGTTCGATAAGGCCGAAATTTCTCTAAATAACTCCCAAAAGTTTATGACAGCAATCTGATTTTATGGAAATTGGAAGAGATTAAAACGTATCTCAAAACGCTTCTTTAAAGCATCTCAAAACAGACACGTGCCCTGAAAAAATCCAGAATGTCATGGAGATGTAGTATATGTGGGCAAGCCAGGTTTCCAGCACTGCCGAGGCGGCTAATACTGGTCACTGGTCCTGCGCACTGATCACTGAAGACGGCCAAAATAGTACGGTATTATCACAATCCGCTGGGGAGGTTGGGTCACCCATAGTTTCTATCCTAAACAGGCTACCAAGGCTCCTGGAGATCCTACATTCCCACGGGGTCCCAAAACAGTATGTTGTCTTTTTGAAGATGCGTGCCCGGGCGTGAACAGCGTACACTTTCCGAAAAGTGTAGCGTAATTTGCAGCAGACTTCTCACCTACACTCAGCATGGATGTATTTGAATAAAACCTTGGGAGCAACTGACATTTTCATACTACATGAGGCTCTCACTGTTGCCCGTCCACCTACAGCACTAAGCTGCTCACGTGCTTCATACATAATGTACATAATTAGCGCACAATGTGCAACGAGTTGTAGCACATACCACAAGCTGCAATGCGGCTGCAGCGAAATATTGTGCGAAATGAACTGAGTTCACTAAAGTATCGCAATGATTTCACGTAGTGGAGAAGTGCGGAATTGGGAAAAAAAACGGAGATCAGCGTTGCGGCACTCCTTGGGTATGCAGCCGCACAACAGTCGCTCTACTAATGCGGTGTTTGAAGCACAAAGAGACGTGGGCCAGTCAGGGCTGATCATTAATTTGATTAAGAACACATCTGCGTTTCCATTAAGTATATTGCAAGCAACTCGAATACACATGCGTTCTGCCGTGTAAGCTGGAGGGATGAGGAAAGGTGAAAACTCAGAAGTCGGTCGGCTACCCCTGAACTCTGACTGCTCCGCGGCTGTGCTCGGTATTGAACCGCTCCATGGGTTGAATGATCGTCTTTTTACGTGGTGACTGCCTCGTTGCCACCATTAATTTAAAGATATCAGCTGCCAGGCACCATCTGGCCATCTCCAGACAGTCTGGAGAAGTCATGTGGCCCTTTGGCTTCCGCGGCCTCCCTTCCGTCACATGTCCCTGGCCTTTCCAGGATATCCAGTGACCGTCCCTGAGTCCCCATGCATCACAGGCACTCAGGGCTTGACCGGCGCCGGCGACCATGGAGCCATGGAAATAGCATTGAGACTCCAGCACTTTGAAGGCTCCTGGCACCCATGTTACAATGGATCACTGATCATGCAAACATCATATGCATTTTTGCCGAATACGTGGTCTACAACTTTCACTGGGTGGTCTTGTATGGGCGATCTAGCCCCCTCTCGCGGGGCCGCACGTCTGCATGTCCGCTCAATGTTGTTGCTCTGCTGGATGGACTTAGCACCCCTGATCAGATAAAAGAGCAAGCAAATCACATCTGCCTCTGTGATGATGATGATGATGGTGATGATGCTTGAATTTGCAGTGAACCTACTGAGGATTGAAGGTTGCGCTGTAATTAGAACCCAATTGGGGTGCGAGGGAATTGGCAATGGCTGGTGTTCTCTTGACGGGCTGCTTCTCCTGCAGCGCGGACCCGCTATCCAACATGCAGGTGGACTTCGCCACCAAAGAGGAGGCTATCGCCTTCTGCGAGAAGAACGGCTGGGACTGGGCGGTGGACGTAAAGACGCCTGTCAAGCCCAGGGTCAAGTCGTACGGCGCCAACTTCTCCTGGAACAGGAACACCAGGACGTCCACCAAGTGAGCGTGCCTACGTAGCGGATGTGTGACGCGTTGCGGGCAATGCTGTCTGTACATAGTATGTGTTCAATATATGATGACTAAGGCGCCTGCCTTGTCCGTGATGAGAACGGTGTTTTCCGGACTCCAGGAACGCAGCTCGTGAACAGGTGGGTAGGCCGACGAGCCGGGATGGGCCGAAGTGCTGCGCCGACGCCGTCAAACCATGTTTGACTGCATGGGGATCTGAAGCTTCGTTACTTGTATTGGATTCGATTCATTGTCCAGAAACGTCTCGTACTGGAAAGAGGCCCGCCACAAGTTCTAATGCAGAGCACGAGAACCGTCGTCTGTGGAGACCTGCTGCACTTGGGGGGTCAGTCTGCAGTCTATGGAGGTCTGCTGCCCTCGAGGGTCGGTCTGCAGTCTGTGAGGACCTGCTGCCTGCGGGGGTCGGTCTGCAGTCTGGAGACCTGCTGCCCTGGGGGTCGGTCTGCAGTCTGTGGAGACCTGCTGCCCTGGGGGGGTCGGTCTACGGTCTGGAGACCTGCTGCCCTCGGGGGTCGGTCTACGGTCTGGAGACCTGCTGCCTGCGGGGGTCGGTCTGCAGTCTGTGGAGACCTGCTGCCCTCGGGGGTCGGTCTGCGGTCTGGAGACCTGCTGCCTGCGGGGGTCGGTCTGCAGTCTGTGGAGACCTGCTGCCCTCGGGGGGTCGGTCTGCGGTCTGGAGACCTGCTGCCTGCGGGGGTCGGTCTGCAGTCTGTGGAGACCTGCTGCCCTCGGGGGTCGGTCTGCGGTCTGGAGACCTGCTGCCCTGGGGGGGTCGGTCTACGGTCTGGAGACCTGCTGCCCTCGGGGGTCGGTCTACGGTCTGGAGACCTGCTGCCTGCGGGGGTCGGTCTGCAGTCTGTGGAGACCTGCTGCCCTCGGGGGTCGGTCTGCAGTCTGTGAGGACCTGCTGCCTTCTGGGTCGGTCTGCGGTCTGGAGACCTGCTGCCCTCGGGGGTCGGTCTGCGGTCTGGAGACCTGCTGCACTTGGGGGGTCGGTCTGCAGTCTGTGGAGACCTGCTGCCCTCGGGGGGTCGGTCTGCGGTCTGGAGGCCTGCTGCCTGCGGGGGTCGGTCTGCAGTCTGTGGAGACCTGCTGCCCTGGGGGGTCGGTCTACGGTCTGGAGACCTGCTGCCCTCGGGGGGTCGGTCTGCAGTCTGTGGAGACCTGCTGCCCTGGGGGGGTCGGTCTACGGTCTGGAGACCTGCTGCCCTCGGGGGTCGGTCTACGGTCTGGAGACCTGCTGCCTGCGGGGGTCGGTCTGCAGTCTGTGGAGACCTGCTGCCCTCGGGGGTCGGTCTGCGGTCTGGAGGCCTGCTGCCTGCGGGGGTCGGTCTGCAGTCTGTGGAGACCTGCTGCCCTGGGGGGTCGGTCTACGGTCTGGAGACCTGCTGCCCTCGGGGGTCGGTCTGCGGTCTGGAGACCTGCTGCACTTGGGGGGTCGGTCTGCAGTCTGTGGAGACCTGCTGCCCTCGGGGGGTCGGTCTACGGTCTGGAGACCTGCTGCCCTCGGGGGTCGGTCTGCGGTCTGGAGACCTGCTGCCTTCTGGGTCGGTCTGCGGTCTGTGGAGGCCTGCCCCCTCGGGGCCGGTCGGTGCCGTGCTCAGCGTGAATCGGCCACGAACACGTAAGCGATGGGGCGGCATATGTCCCCGAATGCCTCCATAATACATGCTATGAGCAGGTGCGATAGGAGAGGGGTGTGTTCCTTGGCGGCGCACGTGGGATGCTTGACTAAACTGGTAATCGTCCACTCCTCATCTTGAAAGAACATTGGAGCCTGCTGGACGTGCTGCCGGACTTGCAGCAGCTTGACAAGGTTATCGTGCCACGTTCCCGGACATGTTCCTCGAGACAGACTTAGCTGTTCTGCTTAGCTCAACGGCCTTTTCTACAAAACTGCGCTCCGATGTGTGGGCTACCTGTCTTCCGTCAGACACATGCGGCTTTACGTTTCGCGTAAGTATCTGCGACAATGAACAGAGGTTCAGAACCGTGCGTTCTCACGTGGCCCAAGCTCAATTCTTGCTTTTGTATGTCCCCGCCACACCGACAAGCCAGTCATGTCGTACGGGAATCGCCCCCCCCCCCCCCCCCCCCCGCCCCCGCCTTCTCCGCTGGGAGGTACTGCCAGGCAGCCTGAGAGCGGTCTGATAAGTTTTTCCGACCATGAAAACGTACGCGGCGTGTACCCACGGACGTTGACAAAAAATTGCATCATTGTGTTTCGTTTGGCGCACAATTCATAACACGCATTCAGATGCAGGGGTATGGCTTAGCAAGTTGGAGAGGGCTTAGGTGGGAAAGTGATCTAACCTACCCCTAAACTGTCCGTCCGTCCGTCCCGGTGGCTCAGTTGGTTAGAGCGCCTGCATTCCGACCGACCCATCCGTGGCGGGATGGGTTCGAGTCGCTTTAGGGCGCTCGCTATTTGCCCTTGGCAGGTATGGCCTGCGGCCGGTGGCAGCGGTCGCGTTCAAGGTCAGTTGACGTCAGAGGGCAGGACGGACCGTGCCGGGCATTGCGGCACGTAAAGCTTTCGCCACTAAATTCTGCCGTTGCCTGGAACTGCGCGATCGGATGGTGGGGGTCAGGGCTCACACAAGCACTGCTTTGCGTGAGCGCTGATCCCAGAAATCCACCCATTCAAAGGATTCGGACCAAATTTATTTTTTTTAAAACTGCAAGCCGCGTGTCTCTCGGATTTGTCCCACCTGCCTCCCAAAGTAGGGGAGGAGGCTTGAGTCTCACCTGAGATGCTTAGCCCACAGCTGATAAGGAAGATACATAATCTCCCATGGTTGCCTGATAGTACAATCGTCAGAACCCATTTGTCCTACGCGCATGCAGAGCATGTTACATTGCAACGCACAGCTCGTCGTCCTGGGACAGTTTCTTTACAGCCCCCCCCCCCCCGCCCCACTTCCCCACCACTAGTAGCTTGCTGTATTCTCTGAAGTGCAGCGGTCAGCGCACCTGTTCACTTACCACCACTCTGCGGCTTTGAGGCCATTGGTCGCCGGAGGCTGCGGCGCCGGGACGGTCGAACGTTCTCAGTCTGAATAACGTTAGTCGGCGCCGGGACGGTCGAACGTTCCCAGTCTGAATAACGCTAGTCGGCGCCGGGACGGTCGAACGTTCCCAGTCTGAATAACGTTAGTCGGCGCCGGGACGATTGAACGTTGCCAGTCTGAACAACGTTAATCGGCGCCGGGATGGTCGAACGTTCCCAGTCTGAATAACGTTAATCGGCGCCGGGACGGTCGAACGTTCCCAGTCTGAATAACGTTAGTCGGCGCCGGGACGGTCGAACGTTCCCAGTCCGAATAACGCTAGTCGGCTCCGGGACGGTCGAACGTTCCCGGTCTGAATAACGTTAGTCGGCGCCGGGATGGTCGAACGATGCCAGTCTGAATAGCGTCAGTCGGCGCCGGGATGGTCGAACGTTCCCAGTCTGAATAACGTTGGGCGGCGCCGGGACGGTCGGACGTTCCCACTCTGAACAACGCTAGTCGGCGCCGGGACGCGTCGAACGTTCCCAGTCTGAATAACGTTAGTCGGCGCCGGGACGATTGAACGTTGCCAGTCTGAACAACGTTAATCGGCGCCGGGATGGTCGAACGTTCCCAGTCTGAATAACGTTAATCGGCGCCGGGACGGTCGAACGTTCCCAGTCTGAATAACGTTAGTCGGCGCCGGGACGGTCGAACGTTCCCAGTCCGAATAACGCTAGTCGGCTCCGGGACGGTCGAACGTTCCCGGTCTGAATAACGTTAGTCGGCGCCGGGATGGTCGAACGATGCCAGTCTGAATAGCGTCAGTCGGCGCCGGGATGGTCGAACGTTCCCAGTCTGAATAACGTTGGGCGGCGCCGGGACGGTCGGACGTTCCCACTCTGAACAACGCTAGTCGGCGCCGGGACGCGTCGAACGTTCCCAGTCTGAATAACGTTAGTCGGCGCCGGGGCGCGTCGAAAGTTCCCAGTCTGAATAACGCCAAACGACGACCGGAGGAACTGCTGGCCGAAGATTGGGTTAGATGATAGTGCCACTGGGGAGGGTAGCATCCCGGAAAATGTCCCGTCTTCCCGTCTGCATCGATACCTCGCCACTGATGCTCCACGAAATCGCCTGACGGCTGTTGCGACACCAGGCGGCAGCACCGTACTCAATGCAGCCGCAGGGGAAGAATTGCGAATCCACCAGTGCATGGTTAGCTCGGGATTTTTTTTTAGCGCAAACGAATTTCCGTCGTCCTCTGAAAGCGTATTGTCCACGGAACCATCATCGGCTCTCCGTGCTGCTGTGTGTCTCGGAGTGACGCGCGCTCGAGTCGAGGGAACTCAGGAGTGTATCCGCACGCCTGGCGTTACGGGCTGTTATTCGCCGGCGCGTCACGTCCATTGGGCGGACGCCGCGGTTTCATGTCGCGAGGCTGACCTTTACCACCGCCGTGCTGGCGCCGGCGTTACATACTGGCACGATCCGGCGCGGACCGCTCAGCTGTTTGTCCGGACGGCCGCCAGGTGGCAGGTCGACGGCGTTGGTGCCCCTGGCGGTGTCGGCACCGGAGGTACGGGGCCTCAGGTCCAGGCGCCGGCGCGGGGACACTGAGCTCACTGCGCCATCATGCCGGCTGGTTGTTTGGGCTAGGGGTGCAGCGACTGCACGGTCTTGCAGCGTCCGTAACAAATTATTTATCGAACTCTTCAGCAGTTTAAAAGCTGCCTACCACCAGTATGAACTCCTTAGGAAGGTGTATATGAAGGGCAGAACTTTGTGTGCGATGCAAATTTTAAGATATGTCCGATGTGTAGTGAGTTGTCACACAGTAAATCGGAGAGCGCCAGAGACGGCGCAGCCCGGTCAACGTACCTCAGGCGTTTGACGCTTGGTATGTGTCAGCATACGAGCGCATGTTCCATTGTCAGCATGGCGTTAACAGTGGCGACACCGAGATAGTTCGTCGCAGCACGGAAGTTAATGTTTGGCATAAGCATGGCCAATCCGCAAGCGGCACAAGATGACTTTCTCCCGTCTAGACTTTCGATAGGATGACTATCATTTCTGGATACCAGAGTCAAGGCTTTTCAGTTTGCCGGCACCCGTCGCATCCCATGTGCTCCACCATTCTCCGCGCACAAGAAGCAGAGATGGCCGAGTATAGGTCTGTAGCGGGAATTAGGAACGCCCTTCAACTGGAGCGAAGAGAAACGCGCTGTGCGGCAGCGGCAGCCAGCTCATTTCCCGTAATGCCGATGTAACTCGGAATCTAGCACAGTGCCTTAGTCTTCCCAGCCCGGTACAGAGTCGAGACAATCTATACCATGCGAAGTAAGGAAAGGACTAAACCACCTGGGGAGTTCAGATTCCCCGCGGCCGTGTCTCCGTCAGACGCCTGTGCTGATCGGCATCCTCTCACTGCACGGCGTCATCGGTCTCCCCGCCCGACACATGCCGGCGGTCTCGCCGGGCGGCAGAGGTTCGGGGCTGCCAACCACGGCCCGCTTCCCGCACCTCACTCGACGGCCGCGACGCAGACACGGGCTGCCTTAGGTGATGTATTTTCGATATTGCCGACATGTCATAACTTACCAGTCTGATCACTTCGTCTGGGATCCTTTGCGTTAAACCTGGCGCAATCAGAAACGAGGATCTAATGCCGGATAGCTTCGTTGTCATCGCATCGCGTGACCGTATCGCGGATACATGTCACCAGTTGTACGGGCGGCCCGGCGCGCGCGCGCGGGGGCGGCGCCGGCGTGGAGGTGGTGCCCGACGCCGCCGGCCCAGAGCGGCCCGACTCGGGCCGCGCGCGCGGCCGGTGGGCACGGCGGCCGCGTCCGATGCGGGTCTATCACAGTGGAGGACAACAATGTGGGGGCGGCAGCTGCCAATATGAACGATGAGACCACATCACACCGGCACGACATTCACAGGCACACGGCGACGGATGGTGGCGGTCTGGGGAGCGGAGCGCCAGCTGGCGCAGTCGGGACGCGGCCCCGACCGCCAGCGGGCGCGGCCGGCTGCCGGGCCCAGACATGCCCTCCTCCAGCTCGCGTTAGTCACGTCCACACGCACACAGAACTGGCGCTGGACTCGAGAAAACGCGCGAGTGCGAGAGAACCAGAGATGGCAGGGATTTTCCCGGCCACGATTTCACATTGACCTCGGAAAGGACACCCCATAACTACCATGTGAAACTCAGGCAGGCTGTCAACAGAACCCTGCAGGCCAGATAATACCCTTAAGAGGCTAGTTCGCAGGGAATTCCTAACAACACGGTCTCTCGAAGTCGTCCAAACGGCAGAGCGCGGATGGCTGTCACACGAGCAGCCGGGATGGCTGTCACAGAGGTTCAGCTAAGGGTCAACCAGCCCGGTTGTGGCGCCAGTCAGAGGTGGGTTGTACAGCAGCAACGCCTATTGGGCATGAAGCCGCAGGCCAGGACGGGATTCAACGTGAGAAAACCAATGTACGCACGGAAGTTTCTGACAGATCTGGGATGACGTGGAACATTCCAGGAGGATCACAAGAAAAGCAACTGCACGGCAGGGCGCTGAAAGAAACAAACTGGGCACGTGACGCCAGCCGAATCCAGTGCCCACAGAGGGCAGCACAGTCCCACCAATCGTTCATCACTGGAACATGTCTGACATTCGTGACACGCACACCGGCTCGCGCGCGCGTGTGCGGCGACTGGGAGGGGGTCGGGGAACAGTAATGCCCGCGGGAGGGTAGGGGAGACGGGAACCGCGCGCCGCGCCGCCCTCACACCGCGTCGCGCCGCTGCAGCACGCGGTCCAGCCGCTCGATGACCGCGTGCCGCGACATGCCCAGCAGCGGGTTGGCCGGCTCGGCGCGTGCCGCCTCCTGGTTGACGGTGAACAGCTTGCTCTCCATGAGCTGCAGCTGGTTGACCTTGGTCTCGAGGCTGCCGCCGGGCGCGTGCGGGGGCGGCGGCCGGCGCTCGTCGACGGCCGGCTCGGCCAGCTGCGGCACCACCTGGTCGTCGCCGCCCGTGTCGCGCGGCGCCAGGTACAGGCTGTGCATGAGGCGCAGCAGGTTGTTGTGCCGGCCGAAGTAGCGCTCCGTCACCTGGTCGGCCGTGATGCGCTGCCGCGGGTCGAGCAGCAGCAGGCGCCGGATCAGCATCGTCGTCGGCTCGGACACACGACCGTCGCTGAAACGGCGGCCCATCGTTAGCAGGGACGGCGCGCCACGCTCAGGGCTACACCAACGGCAGGCCCACGCTGGCACGGTGGAGCGGCTCCACCACACCAGCAGGGCACCAACACCATACCCGCATCGAAAGGGTAACACGACATCCAGCATCACCACACCAACGCCAGTTCCCTCGCCCGCAGGGTGGCGTGGCGCCATGCATACGGGCACACTGTCATCAACACCACATCAGTAGGACGACTGAACGACACACAAATGGAGCAATGCCAGCGGAGAACGTGAGCCGTAACAGTAACTGCGCTATCCGGTGACAACGTTACTGCACATTGTCACGGCAGGCATTGCAGGGCATGGCGGCTCAGAAACGTACGCCATATGTCGCAAAATCAAAATTATCATTACAAACCAGGCAGCAAATTGCTCGTACTTTTCCGGCGAAACTAGCGTCAATTATTCTAAGATGGGGCATTAGCATTTTCTATATGCTAATGCCGTCAGTGGCGGCATTTTTCCTTGAGTTTAGTGTCACTCCCCATCATAACTGACCAGCACAACAGACCTATCACCGAAAATAACATTTAAGGATTGTTGGTCGATGAAGTAAAGGTCAGCGATGGCACTTGTCACACTAAACCGCTCCATAAAACCAAATAATTTCGTCATTTTCCAAACACCCACACTGTATAGACTACAGGTGTATTCCAACTGGAGCAGCATGCTTGGAGCAGGTCGCAAGTTTGAGCCGACTAGGGTTCCCTGGCGGTCTCGGTTCTCTACACCGTATGAACAGCTCGAGGGGCAGGTGGCGGCCATGACAGCCGCCCTCAACACTGCCCAGTGTCACTGGCGCACGCCGTGTACCTCTGGGGCGGGGGCGGAGGTGGGGGGTGGCCAATGCGTGTCGAGGGCGCCCCTCACGCAGAGCGAGGGACGGGGAGGGGAGGGGGAGCGCGCGGGCTTCATAAAGCAGGTCCCATTCGGAGCGCCGCCCATGAGTGGCTGGAGCCAGCTGATCCGGTGGCCGCGTGACCGCTTTGATAACAAACCATCCGGACGACGGGATGGGGGTGACCTTGGCCCCAATTCTGGTAGAACCCGTTCGGCCAAGGCTCGGCCCCCGGCCGCCGTCGCCGCCGCCGCCGCATCAGCATGACATCTGACCAACAGCGCCAGCATTGCCGGCGGTGGCTATTCCGCGCGACCCGCGAGACGGTGCCAGCAAGCCCGATAATCGGTGTCAGAGCGCCGGCAGGCGGTGCGACTGGCCGGTGACGTCATAGCGCGCCCCAGCGGGCCACCGGCCGCGCAGGGCGAGCCGGAGCCGGCTCGCCGGGCCGCGGACCACGGCGGAGGATCGACCGAGCCGGCCGGCCGGCAAACAGCGACAAAGCCCCGACAAGTCCGGCCCGCCCTCCGTCTTTCTCCCAGTCCTGCTCCTCCCTCTCTTCTCTCGCCCCACGCCTGAAGACCCGCCGCCCCAGCCAGACCGTAGCAGACGGGCGGCGTCTCGAGCCGCTGACCCCACCGGGCGGCGCGAACCTTCGAGGGCGTTAGCGCCGCTCCGGGCGGCGGACGTGCCCGTCTACCGTCCCAGCGTCGGCCGGTCGCCGCCGCCCAGCTGGATTTCACCGGTTCGCCCGGGCCGCGCGTGCTCTCGCCGGCCGGCCCGGTCGCCGCCGCCGCCGGCCGGACGTGGCTCACGTCCGGCCCCGACCCACTGACCGGCGACCGCCGCGGAACGCGCGCCCACCGGCGCACAGACACGGGATGGAGCGAGTGGCGCGGGGCGCTGGCTCGGGTGCGTGACGGACGCCGCTGGTGCACTTACTCAGGGATGACATAGTCGGCAGCCTTGATCTTGCGGAACAGCTCCTGCGGCACGGCGTCGTAGAAGGGGAACTGGCCGTACAGCATCGTGTAGAGCACAACGCCCAGCGCCCACATGTCCGACGGCTTGCCTGTGAAAGAGCGAGTGGTCACGAACGATGTCACACTTCCACGAAACTCCACAGCACCGTGCGGAATGTTAAAGCTAGCGCTGGTTCAATAGCCGGCCGCCGAGTTCACGCAGACCGCCAAAAGCTGCCCATGGAGCGCCAAAAGCGGAGGTGATCGAGTCCAATGTCACCAGCCGTACCCTTGTTACAACAGGGTCCTCCTCACGTCCTCGACAGGTCCCCTCACACACTCCCGGCGTAATGGGAGGATGAAAGCGCTGAACGGTACGTGACACCCACTCACGTGCAGTATTAACCTCCCATATGGCCAGTGTTAAAGATCGCGTCGCTAACAAATGGCAACTTCAACGATTCGCACGTGCAATTATACGCTTTGTTTACGGAAGACACCACAATGCCACAACTATAAATGATCCTTAAATCGAATCTACTTCGTCATGTGCCGCCCGCCAGTTTGCGACATTCTGTCGCAGCGCGCGTCACGATGAACACATGAACGCAGGGATCGCCGTCAGAGCCTGTGACATCTGTCACCGCTGACATGACCTGGTGACTGACGCGACATATGAGTTTCCATGGTGGGCCTCGACCGGGCTGGCCGCGCGGCCCGCCGTCACGCTTCGCCGTACCACACAAAGTAGGCCCCGGGCAAAATTCAGGTGCGTCAAACTGGATGCGGATACAAAGCAATGAGTGCATATTCTATCATTTTTGCATACAGCTGAGAAAGTACAGCTCTAAGAAAAACAAGCGGTCTGCGTGAGGCACGCGCCATTATTTCCAGACGCCGCGAAATCTATGCGGGCAGCATACCGTTTAAAATAATGCAGCCGCTCGGCGTGGATATGCACACACGACTGACGCGCGACACACAGCGTGAGCACAGCGCGCGCGCACACGACACACAGCGTGGGCGGCGAGTGCTACACTACAGCGAAACCACTTGGCCTCTCCTGGCCACAGAGTCAGTCGCATAAGTATGGCCAACGCGCAGCCTAGAGAGAACCTCCGCTTTTTGTCGATACCTGTGGGATGCCAAGTCCCCCCTCCCCCCCCCCCCCCCCAGCCGGGGTGGCAACTGGTCTTTACTCATGGAGCATGGGGATTATTACCGATCATCACATTCCGACTATGCTGCCACCTTGTCGGCGTTTTGAAGTTCCGACAGATCGGTAAACGTCCCAAGTATGGCGTGGGAGCGAACGTGTGCAAAGAACCAGCGTTGCCTTCCCCCTCTCTAAGACATCTGGCAGCTTGATTCTCTAAACACCAATCCGACATGGCTTGAAGTCCCAACAGGAAGTGATTCTGTCAGCCGCACTGTCAACTGATAATTACACGTTACATCATCCTGCACAAGGAACATCCCTGGTAAAACACCTTCCCAGCTAAAAGGCTGCTGACTGTTGACATGAGGCGTGAATCCCGATTTCCAGCGGCATAAGTTCGGATGTAACATCTGACGCGTTAGCAAGCAAAGTGATGGAACGAGTGGCAGCGCGCTCGCCGATGCGCTCAGTCACCACTCAGTCATCTGTTTTTACATCATCCGTATATGTGAACACGTGCCCACGGCGAAAAGCTCATCCTCTGGTCCAGAGCTCCGGAGCGGAAGGCGTCCGTTGAGCATTTTTGTAATAAATGTGTCGCTCTGGGACCTGGCAGCAGAGAAACGATTCAGACTGACAGGGCGTCGTGGCTGAATACATCGGAGCTAGTGACCGCCATTTAATAAGAACCAGGCGGAAAGAGAGCAGCGAACAACTGGATGAAGCTCCACTGCACCCATTGCGACCGGGACAAGTTATTTCCAAACAGCGGATGGTGTTGCCTAGGATCTCCGATAATGACAGACATGAAGCATGAGGATGAAATCGACAAGCCCGTTGCGACAAAACCGGGCGTATGAAACACATAAGAAACTTCAACAAAAACATTAAAAAGCCTACGGATTTTGAAATGGAATCCATGCCTAGAACCACGGACGTGCCAGCTTTCGGCCGACGTCTTTCACATCAGCTGTACATTCCGAACGAGTCTGACAAACCGTGACAAATCAACGATGGGTCGTTTTGGCTGATTGGTCAGCAGGACGGCTGCCAGGCATCGCGCTCTAACGGAAGCTATACGTGAGAGAAATAACTCCAAACATCCCATCTCGACGCGACTCATTACCGCCAGCCCGACGGTCCGCTTTCCACACCTCCGGTGAGGGCTGGGCCGAGCCGGGGCCGCGCGGCGCAGCTCCGCCGCGGGCGGCACGTGTCCGGCCGCCGCCCCGTGCGAAGCTGGGCGGATCACGCCCGGTCAGCAGGTCCCGGAACCGCGGCGACAGCAGGACGGCGGCCGACCATCCCGCCCGGGCCGACCACCGCCGCCACCGCCGCCGCCGCCCGGACCGGTCGAGAAGCTCGCCACCGTCCTGCGGCGCCGCGAAGGCCGGCCGCGGGCGCGCCGTCGCCGGCTGCTGCCACCACACCCGCCGCCTTTGTTCGCCGGCCGCCGGATCCGGGCGCTGCGATGCACGCCGCCGCCATCGGCGCGCGGCGTGGCGCAACACACGGGAAGTGAGACAGCGGCGCGCCTCCCACGCGGCGGGTGTGTCACGGCACGGCGCGAGCGCGCGATATCGCCCGGCCGTCCATGGTCGGCACCCCCGGCCAGCGGCGGCCAGGCGGCACGTTAGCGGCGGTACGGCCCGCCAGTGCCGGCCGGATGGTCGCCAGACAAGGCGGACGCTGTCGATGGCAATGCGTGGCTCAGCGGCGGTGGACACGGGCGAGCTACGCAACCGCTGGGGAAGCCCGTGTGATCAGACGGGGGCAGACGCGGGCTATCGTCGCCCTCCGATGACGTGGACGCACCCTCGTCATCGCCGCTGACCGGTGATGTTGATACGCCCTTGTCATCGCCGCTGACCGGCGACAAGGAGCTGTGCATTCCTGCGTGACATCGATGGCTGTCCGGGTCCGGCTAGCCGCCCGGCGGATGGAGGAGCCGTCGTCGGTGACCCGGTGCGGGTCGCGGCCAGCTGGGGGCAACATCATGACAGCCGCCTGACCACCTAGCGCACGGCGGAGTGCCGGGCAGCGAGATGCGTCCACCCTGCGCTCCCAGGCGCCCATACCCGGGGCCGCAGCAAACGTCAGCAGCTCGGATACAGTGTGCGCTGTGTGTATCCGCGGATAATGTAGCGTTCGAGGACGTTTCGAGCTACGAAACTCCATATGAAGGGAAATTCTTCCCTGCCCGTGTTACAACTGCCATAACCTAGCGACGACCCAAACTGGCTTCACAGAATACCTCGCCAGCCCTGCACGCGTTCCCATGTTGGCTCAACGCCGCTGTCGTCGAAGCCAGTTAAAAGCAAGGACACTAGCGCCTCACGGACCTGGTAATCAATGAACGCTGTTATCTTTTCAACTTGCACCTGTTTGGACCGGACAAAACGACTACCGAACATCATGAAAGGGACCTGACATACGCAGGTGCAAAATGCAAAACATTCGCAACGAGCCTTGCGTAACATTCGCGCAAGCCTACGAAAGCGATTTGAAGAATAAGTAAAAGGCAATAGCGCAACCCCGGCGCCATATGGGGAAATGTGCGGAGCCTGCACGCAATGAGCTGATATTTCACAATAATATGCCCAACTCTACGCTACCAGCGCTTGACAACATGTCGCTAACGCATGCCTAGTTTGCAACAAATTAACCTGCGCCCGCCCGGGGATCTGAGACATCCGTGCCCGACCGGGAGGAAAGCTGACTCCCACAGTCCCCCCCCCGCGGGACCTGAAACATGCGTGCCCGACCGGGAGGATAGTTGACTCCCACAGCCCCCATCCGTCACCCCCCCCCCCCCCCGGGGGTCTGAGACATCAGTGCTCGACCGGGAGGAAAGCTGACTTCTACAGCGCCCATCCGCCACCCCCCTCCCCCTCCCCGAATCTCGAACTTCCAGACGTCGTGCGAAAAAAAACAGATACCGTTGAAACAGTCCCGTCAAATCACGAAGAATGCGCGCAATCGGTTTTGCCTTAGTTCAAATGTGCGGTCACCAGAGCTCCCGAAACGAAAAACACCTCGTTAAATATACGCGCTCGCGGTTGCGTCAGATGCGGGGATGACACGGATAACAGGCCGGATGAAGTTGCCGGTCGCCTTGGTTTCCTCCGTCGACTGAGCCGCTGGAGCACAGGCGAAAGGCCGCGGCGGGTGCGTCGCCGGCGGCCGCCGCGGCCACGGCCGGCCATCACGTCCCGCCGGCGCGGCGCCGACATGTTTCGACAGCTCGCACACGGACGGTCACGAAATACGGCCGCTTACAGAACCGCGCGCATCGCCGTTTCCAAACGTCGCTGACAGTCGTTTGACTTTCGACAGGGCCGCCGCCAGTAACGACACGGCCAGAGAAATCGCACCTCGATCGGCCGGCACGCCGCCGCCGCGGTCGACGACCGAGGGCGGCCCGCCGGCCTGGGACGGATGGTCACGCGGACACGCGGGCCGGACGCACACAACTGCAGACAGACATACAGCACGCACGGAGCCCGGCGGCGCGCGGCGCGCGGTCGGCGGCGGCGGCGACGGTGGCGCGCGGTCCCTCCGTGCCCAGTTGCGTCAGCAGGTGCCCCGTCAGACCATTACGGGTGGCTCTGTTTATCGGCCGATTGCACCACCCGCGCCCACCGCCGCATCCAGGGCACGCACTCGCAAAAACCCGCACCGCGGGCGTCGCTGGAGCCGGCGCACACGGTGCGCGCGCGCGCACGGAGACTGCATTAGCTGCACTCCCAGCCGGCGTTGCACAACCGTTTGAAGCAGGTTGCGAAGCCTTGAGGCCGCGGTGGAACGGGCCTGAGCCGACGGCGGCGGGTCGCATCCGGCGGCGTGCTGCACTGTCCCCGAGACTCGCCTTCACGGCCGAGGTGTGAAGGGTCGGACCGCCACTCACGCCGAGCCCCGATCCAACGGGCCGAAATTACTTCACGCTAACGA